CCATTATCGAGAAACGGACAGCAACCTACTAAGAGAACTGTCAATATCCAAACATTCTAGCTGGCTATTAAGAGGTCGAATAAAATCGAGACATATACTTAAGCTCAAAAACATATTTTACATCGTAGACAGAGAAACCTATAGACTAATGATAGGCGTGGCCTCGAGTGAGAAAGGACGATAACGAATTTTTAGGTTTAGGACTTTTAAACACATTTAGATAAAAAATTTAATTGTTCTAAGAACTGAACTGAACAATATTCACCAATCTTAAGCTCACAAAACACTTTTTTCTCACTTAACCCAACTTGTAAACTCCTTAAATCGCTACGCTGTTAAAATTTGTTTAGCAAACTCTACAGTTTGCTAAACAAAAAAACCGGCACGGAGAAAGGGACAAACAATCACACCGCTCTATCTCATTTCTATGCAAGACGTATGCATAAATCTATCTTTTTCGTGTGCGAATGCGAAAGAAGGCGTCAATTTGTCTATAGGTTTCTCTGTCTACGTTTTACATATATTTAAGTTGACAGTTCTCTTAAGGGGAAATATAACCTCAAATGGCTTAGCAAGATCCTCCGTTATGCCGAAAGTATTGCAGCATTAATTTTGAAATAGATATATGGTAAAGTTGAGGATTAATGTTAAGGTTTATGTTAGACGAAAACACGATTCCGTAAAATTTTCTCGATAGAAAAAAAATCCAAAGTTACCTCCAAACTGAACAATAAACCGCTGTTATTCATAAAATACTTTAAATAAGATCATGAAACTTTGCATACTAACTGAACTAACCATAAAGCAGTGCTTATGTTATTTACTTTTTTTAAAATATCATTATTTTCACTGTAAAAAGAAATTAACTAAACTATCGGCGCGTAAGCTTGGTTCCTGCGGAGCGACAGGACAGGACAGGGTGTAATGTGAGAGCTTGGTGTAAGAATAACATTGTAAGCATATCATAAGCAATGACATTGTTTTTATAAAAACCAATAACATCCTATATTTTTTCTCTCCATGAAGCAGTCGTAAACATTTCAGTTTTTTTTTTAAATGGTATTGGTATATAAATAAAATAATGCAGTAATCGTTACTGTAACATCAGGCCCAGCTTTCTATGAACTTTCGCCCGTCTTCTTTGTTTCCGGATGAAAAACATCGAAAAAGTATTTAACAAGTGTATGCCCACAGCAGTGAAGAAGCCAGCTTGCATATTTCTAGGGTTCAACGAGCATATTATCCTTCATCACTCATGGTTTGGTTTGGAGTCTCATATTCTGGCTTAACTTAGGTGTTTTTCTGTGAAAAGGATGTAAAAACCAGTGCTGAGGTATACCAAAATACTGTCCTAACAAACATAGTGGAACCTCTTTCTCAATCAATGTTCAAAAACAGATATTAGATGTTACAACAGGATTCTGCACCAACTCATAGGGCACGAAGCACTCAAAACTGGTTTACCGCCCGTAAAATTGATTTTAGTCTTCTTCTAGTCCAAATTTAAGCCCACTGGATTATAAGATATAGCATAATTTGCAGGAGAAAATCTGCGCTAAACCTCATCAGAATTTGGAATCTCTCCGAGCATCTTTGGCTAGAGTAGCGGCAGAAATAGATATGAGTGTGGTGCGTCCTGAGATTGATGATTGGCCGCGTCGATTAAGGACATAAATTCAAAATAGGGGAGGGCATTTTGAATAATTTGAATAAAATTGTATTCTAAATTAAATTACCTTTCATTTTAAATACAATTTCTATATAATTATCAAAACGTTTATCATTAATTTTATAAAAAGTTTTTGACAGGACTTATGACCTGACTAAGTATATAAAAACATGTACTTATCTAATAAACAAAATAAAAAATATAAGCTTATTATGCTTGGACATACACTCCCGTACTATTGAAAAAGGAACATATAAAATCGCACAAAATTCACCGCTTAGTCACTTAGTAATTATTTTTTGGCAATATTCTTAATTTTTTGACAACAAATCTCACACTTCTCCGTGAAAATGTACAAAGCTTTTCCTTCACGTATTAATAAATAGATAAGAGTAAAACTGTTCCAAAAATTTGATTCTTTTATTATTATTTCCAATTTTAATTTTACGTCGTTCTGTTACGTAAAGCCGAAGTGAAATTGCAGCTGAGCGGGAGTATCGGGTTTGGGCGGCAGGGAACAAGCATCAGGACGCCTAGTTATTATATATATATATAGTTTCTATATATATATATATATATATATATATAATAACTCTAAAAAAATAAATTCTAGTTATTATATATATAGTTTAGGTAATTTTTTTACAGTGAAAATAATGGTAAAAAGCGGTCTAGGTGCGACTCGAAAGGTCCACACGACTAACTTCTCAGTGGAAAGAATAAAAAAATATCATATGTTTTTATATTTTATACAATTTTTAATTCGGCACAAAAAACGACTGATTTTGCTCAAAATTTTATGAGGTGTAAGTAAGCGTTAAATGGAACTGGTCCCATATTACTCTTTGTTCTCGGGATACACGTGAATACATACATATTGAATCCAAACATACATACATACATACATACATAAATACATACATACGTACATGTGCATACAAGGACATCTTCTTAAAAACCATACTATTTGACTCTAAAGACCTTGAAACGTGGAAATATGTTAAAGTATCCAAATTGCAAAATTGGATCCATTACAATAACTTCCCACTGGGAAGGTAATTAAAAAAAAAAATAAAAAACATAAGCCACGCTTCATTGTTAGTTCAGTTTATATGTTGTATTCATTAGGCGAGGTTTCATAATCTAATTTAAAGTATTTTGTGTATACCAGCGGTTTATCGTTCGGTTTGGAGGTAGCTTTGGATTTTTTCCATCAAAGAAAATTTTACGGAATCGTGTTTTCGTCTAACACAGTACTTAACATTACTCCTCAACTTTACCATATATTTATTTCAAAATCTATGCTGCAATAATATGTTCGGCATAACGGGTGATCTTGCTAAGCCATTTGAGGTAGTATAGGCCCTTAACTGTAAAACACGGGGTTGCAAGCACTGCTAATCTAGGACATGTTACTATTTCTTTATTCAAAATATTTAGAAAGTTTAATATTTAGAAATTTTATTTAAGAAAATTTAAATTTCAAAATGATATGATCAACGTAACTCATCACTAAAGATGTTCAGAATTAATAACCTAATAGCCCCGTATATATAAAAATGATCTGTTTTACCTAGTTTTACGGCCGTTCGTTAGAAGGAGATAACATAGGTGAGGCATTTATATTTTACACACGGATCTAAGCAAAATAAATTTTTAACATCTTTACTGTAATGGATTTCCGCAAAGTAACGCCTGATTAGGTTGAGACTCTTTCTGTTTTAAATAATTTTACAAAACCTTTTAAAACAATCGGGGACAAAATCAAAGTGGGCACTGAAGCGATATCAAAGTCGTCAATTTCGTAGACATTTTGTTGTAAGTCTTTTGATATGTACGTAAACTTGATTAATTAAATTGTCTCCGAGATTGTGTTTGAAGTATACTTAAGTGATTTCCATTTTCCATTAAAATTTTATGGCAAAAACGTTCACTTATAATTGGATTATTTAAAAATATATAAAAGAACCAACTCCGTAGCACAGTAGTTATAAATAACCACTGGTCAACTATCGGTATGGCCTGTAGGTACCTAATTGGTCCGAGTCTGATCTTCTTGTACTGGTCACGTTCTTACAGAATACCTAGAATACCAGCGTAAAATGGTGAGTACAGAGATCCAGAGATCCTTTTACTGAAAATGAGGTATTCCATCATAGTCCTCAGTGGTGACAGCCTATGGTGATAACACATCTGCATTTTTAGGGTTCCGTAGTTAAACAAGGAACCCTTATAGTTTCGCCTTGTCCGTCCATCCGTCCGGCCGCGGTTTTACTCAGAGACTTTAGGTGCTAGAAATCTGTAATTTGGCACAGTTATAGTATTAATCACGCCTATAAAATGGTGAAATAAAATCTTAAAAAAATTTTTTTTTGGGTACTTCCCATACAAGTAAATGGAGGATGATGTATTTTTTACCCGTCTCAGAAGTATCGTTGGACAGGTCTTTTAAAAACCCTGCGATACACCCAGTGTTTTTAAAAGACCTGTCCAACGATACCACTAAAACTAGCGGCGTTATAGCTTTGTAGTGTTTTTGTGAACTGTAAGAAATAAACATTTTGTGGAGAAAATGACTTATATGCATTGCTACTATAGCGTTATTTTTCCTATACGGGAGAGGCAGGGTAGATCTTTCTTACTTACTACTTTCTACACTACTCTACTTATTTGTTAGTTGGTATTTATTGAAGGCCTCATTCAAAGTATATTTATACAATCATATAGCCTTAAACAATATAATTCGTGGTACTCTTGGTTTAGGCAAGCGACCTTCAGGATAATTTAGGGCAGTGATGGTTTATGGGAAGCTTCGTTACGGTTATATATATCTTAGGGTTGCACTGCTGGGAATATATAGGGAGATAGATAGTCCAACTATGACCATCTTTATATGAACTTGGCATGTGAATGATTTGATGTAGATTGTATTATTTTCAAAATCGAAAAGTTTTTTGAAAGTCTTATTGGAAAATAAATTCTTCAGTTACCATCGTCCTATTTAGACCCATTTTAGTCGTTATAGCGGTCAAACCACGAACTCAATTCGATCATTATCAAGAAAGCCCACGTCAATTCGATCATTATCTAGAAAGCCCACGTCAATTCGATCATTATCAAGAAAGCCCATTGTGACAGGCAACTACGGAACTAACTCTATCTATACGTTGTGCGGGGCCTGACACGCGCTTGGCCAGTTTTTTGAATTTTAATCGAGGATAGATGTAGATTTCTATGAGCCACACGATGCATTTACCATCAAGTGGACTGTGTTATTCATATACATGGTGACAGCTTTAAGTTCCTCTATGCTAGCGTATTTTGCTAACTCTCAAGGAATGAGCAGTTTTATGGCAAACTGTATCTCTCTACTGCTTAGTGTGCTCTTCTTTAAATGGGACACCAATCTCGCCGCTTCCTCAGTGATCCTCTCTAGCATGTCGTTCACGAAGTTTTTCATTATCAGCATAGACATTCTGTATATGTCCACTTTCTCCTTCGTTACGCATTTCAGTAACTTATATATGTAAATTGAGAAGTTGTAGTAGTTTCTCTTCTGGGTCTTCTTGCTTTTTGATGTTGGCTTTCCTAGTGGTTTCTTCATGGATTGTAATGCTTTTTTAAGTTGTTTTACGGGAGCCATTTTAAAATTTCTTAATTTAAATTAATCTTTTTACGAAAAATCTTTTTACGGGTGCTCGTTAGTCACCCTTATTCTATAAAAATGTACAAATAAATAAACTAAAGCATACGACACCGAAACAATTAGCGCAACATAACCAGAAAGCTTATCGTTAACCCAAACTAAAGGAAATATACTTGTGGGAAATAATCGCTGAGTCCTAATTGTTCCCGCTTTCTTTCTCACAAGTGCCTGGAGGGTCCCCGCAAAAGGTTTTACCGGCTATAAGCTTGAAGTGCCCTTTCAGACCTTGCTTTTAATTAGAGCCGAGATAGCTAAGAACGGGTTCAAGAGGCTCTGATTGGAATAGAGTAAAATATATTTCGTCTATTATTAGGTTTAGAGGAATCACATCCTTTTTAACCGACTTCAAAAAGTAGGAGATACTCAATTCGACAGTATGTTTGTATGTGCGTTACCTCAGAACTTTTTTCTAGGTGAACGGATTTTGATGATTATTTTTTATTTGAAAGCTGCTGCTTCTTGTGTAGTTCCATATAAGTTTGATCAAAATCTTACCAGCAGTTTTTGAGTTATCCTTAATAATGATTATTTTTGTTGATTAAGCCCACACACATAGTGCACCCCCCCCCCCCGACACATGGCGCACACACCGGGCGACGCACACACACACACACCACACCCGCACACACACACACACACACACACACACACACACACACACACACACACAAACGCGTACATGCTTATCATGTAATTATTATTATATTCCAATTTTCATTTACAATCAACATCAACAACAACAATCACAATCTTGCCTTGCCTTTGTTATTTATTGATTAACATTGTATTGTCCTGGTGCATGAGCGGGGTACCCAGTAATACAGGTTCCCAACCTAGGACAGGGGCCCTTGCGTGGTTTAAAATGTATCATTGTAAATCAATAAATCATTTTTCATTTTCATATTTAATTGACTTCGAATACATTGTTGATGTTCTCATTTTATTTATATTGACTTCGGTTGTAAAAAATGTTTAATTTTACCACTTCCTGATCTGTAGTGTCTATAAAGAACTTTTAAATATTGGCTTAGTTAATTTCAGTTCAATTTCAAAACAATGAGAATAATTTTGATATCATTCATTCATTTATTCAGTCATTAAAGCTTTTCAAATGATCACTTGTGAGTATTGACCTTCTCCATGGATGGTCTAATAGGCTTTGATTGGAATAGAATAAGATATAGGGAAGAATTTAATATAGTTGCCACGCTTGGCGCACAGGTTGGCAACCGAAGTTTATATTATTTTGAGTTGCTATCAGGAAGATGCTGCCGCCCATTTCTTGTTTCGATCTGCCACTGTCGCTTCCATCAACATCCATGAGATGATATGGAAAGTGATAATAATAATAATGTCCTCCAGACCAAATTTCGGCCACGGCGGCCTGCCTCAACGGAGGCTAGCCGTCGGCGCAGGACAGGATTATAGTGCCCAAGTGTATGCACAAGCACAGGTGCACTCTCTATTCCCTCACTCTCATAATTCCGATGGGACGGTAAACCGACACGACCGGAGAGGGATCAGGCGCAGGACCGACGGCTTAACGTGCTTTCCGAGGCACGGGGGTGAGACACTGCCAACTTCCTGACTCCGGGCAACTACTGAGAATTTCTTGACGGAAACCCAGGACCTCATGATCAGCAGTCGCACTACTACAACCACTAGACAAACGAGGCAGTCATATGGAATAGTATTGCATATTCGTACACCGCTTCTACCATTTATTTTATTGAAGAAGTTTTTTTTTTTTTTATAGGATAGGGTGACAATCGAGCACACAGTCCACCTGATGGTAAGTGGTTGCTGTGGCCCATAGACATCTACATCTATCCTCGATTACGAATCAAAATGCAGATGTGTTGTCACCCGTGAGGACTAAGATGGAATGCCTCGTTTCCAGTAAAATGGGTCGCCGGTTCTCTACACTCACCATACGAAATACAGCAGCATTAAGCTACTACTTCACGCTGGTATTCTGTGAGAGCGTGGTCCTTCCCCGGTCGAGCCGACCCATTCGTGCTACAACTATACATCTAATATAACTGCAGCATGGCTCTACCACAAAGATAACTTAATCAAAATAATAGTCGGTACATTTTCTTTGAAACTCAAGTAAATACTAACTGTATATTTTCTCCCTGAAAATCAGTACGTTCGGTTCTCGGTGGTATTGCCTATATTTTTTATTATCTGCTTTGAAGTGTAAAATTTCAGGCTGTGCGTTCTTTCATTTATGTCCTCAGAGGAAGCAACGCACCTGTGATATGTTAGTACAGAGGTCATAAGCCGCAGTGGTCGCTTACGATCCGGTAAACTTTTTAAGTTACTGTTAATCAAATATCATCTATACATATAAATAAATTGAGGTTTCTGTTTGTAAATACGAAATAACTGCCTTATACTTATTGGTATAGCTGAGGGGTTAATTAGCATTCTAGATATAATTGTTTGTCTGATTGTCCGTGATAATCTTCGAAATCACTGAATCAATTGTGATGAAACTTTACGGACATATAAAGATAAATGCCAGAAAATTTTCGGGAAAAATATTGCCTTTTACGTGATACAGACATATTGCAGCTATATTAGTAGTCAAAATGTAGCACGAAAGCTCTCACAGAATACCAGTGTAAAATAGCAGCCTAACGCTGCTGTGTTTCGTATTGTGAGTTTAGACAACCGGAGACCCATTTTACTGGAAAAAGGGCATTCTATCTTAGTCCTCACGGATGCGTTGTCCATCTTCATTTTGATTCGTGATCAAGGGTTGATGTAGAAGTCCATGGGCCGCAGCAACTACTTCCCATCAGGTGGACTGAGTGCCCGATTGTCATCCCTATCCTATTAAAAAAATTATGTTATCGTGTACTATTAACTTCTAGAATATCGTATGAAAAAAATTGAAAGTGAAATACACAATACCTTATAGCAATAAAGTGGAGGCTTATATCCTGTAGCTTACGTTCATAGGTTGTCCTTTACTTACACAATAATTGAGACCCTTTTTATGGGTAATGATGCCTCATTATGCATCCTACCCGTAAAAAGGGTCTTAAATCTTTCATTGTTGTCATATTTAATCCTCATGATGACTGCGTCCTTTGTCTAGTGGTTGTAAACTATCATGTGGTCCCGGATTCGAATCCCAGGTTGGACTGAAACCAGTTACAGGGTTTTTTCTGTCAAGAAATTTTCAGTTGCTGCCAGAGTTAGGAAGTTGGCGGTGTTAAGCCTCCGTACCTAAGAAAGCACGTAAAGCCGTTGATCCTGCACCTGATCTCTCTCCGATAGCTTCGGTGAGGGTATGGAGTAATCATGTCCTGTGCAGATCTGGTCTTCGTTAAGACATGCCACCGTGACCACTATTCAGTCGATAGTCAGTCTCTAGGATATTATTTAATCCTCAGGAGTGACAACGCATTTGGGTTATGGTTTTTAAACAATGATATATGCAAGTGTCTTTGGGCCACACCATCCACTTCATATCAGGTGGATTGTGTGGTCGATTGTCACCTTTACTTCATTATAATTAATAAAAAGTAACTTTAATAAGTTACTTTTGCAACTTCCTACGATTATTTTTTATGGAGCATGTATGGGTTTTGGAGCAGTTAGTTTGCTGCGCTTCTCAACTGTGTGTTGTCTTGACATATACTCAATTTTTTTATTTTTTTGTCGCGTGGTTTGCTTACGATGGCTTTTCAATTGCCAAATACATGGTAATTCAGCAATTAACAGTTTCATTGGTGCTAGCGGAGATCGAAGCGCAGTGGAATTAGAAAATTAATTGTTGTATTTACAGACTTGTCTCTTAGGTTTATACGTGCTAGAGCCATGTTTCAGTTATTTTAGTAATAAAATAGTTGCACGAATGGGTCGGCTCGACCGGGGAATGACCACGCTCTCACAAAATACCAGCGTAAAACAGTAGCTTAATGCTGTTGTGTTTCGTATGGTGAGTGTAGAGAACCGGAGACCCATTTTACTGGAAACGAGGCATTCCATCTTAGACCTCACGGGTGACAACGCATCTGCATTTTGAGTCGTAATCGAGGTTATATGTAGATGTATATGGGCCACAGCAATCACTTACCATCAGGTGCTCGTTTGTCACCCTATCCTATAAAAAAAGTTAGCTTAGGCTGTGTCTGGATGTATTAAATGACAAATTATTAATCTACTTATTTCATTTTTAAGGGCAACCCTAAATAGTACTAATTAATAAAGCAACGTTAATTAAGAAGAAAAATATGATATTAAACTATTTTAAATTATAATGTGAAAAACAAAAGCTATTAACTAATTAATAAATTCCATTCAATCACAAAATGTATGTAGGTGTTAGTCTTGTTATATTTATGTGTTAAGATTATAAACGAATTTGGGTGAAAATAGGCAATCATGGAAAGGAAATTGCAACGTTCACGTTAATTGACACATTTAATCACTATATGTAATCAACGACAGCTTTATCTATAGTCTATACACGTCATATTCAAGAGTGATAACGATGTTCTCAAATACAATGAAAACTAGCGAATATTAACACAAGTACATAATTTTAAAATATAGATGATCTTAATTGGTACTACCGATGTATGTACAAAGACCACAATGACTGCAAGTTCTGCATACACGTAAATCACAAATATACGCTACAAATGTTCTTTAAATACAGGACTCTCGTCTGAAATATGTTATCTCTGAGGTCTTAAAATCTACCAGGAGCACATATTTTAAAAGTAAATATATTCATACACGCAAAATCATAAGGTCTCACGCTTGTACGCAAAATTAGCACTTAATGAAATATTACTCTCATTTGCAAGCTCCAAACTAATTATATTATGTCGAAAGAGGAAATCTCATCGCCAGATTGAAACGTAACCAAATCATGGCCGCCATACGTCCCGGCGACGTACACATTACGTCAAATT